CTCCGGTCGGGTCGTGGAAGACCGGAAGCTGTGTGGTTCATAAAAACATGTTCTTACTCAATATCAAGCCACAATTATTGCTTTTATTTTAAATCGTATCATTTCGGACTTTTGTTGCCGTCTGTGAGGAAAATAAATGGGGCTCAGAGCCTCAGAATACTGAAATCTGTATTTTTTAAATCTTTTTTTCCTTCTAATTTGTTATTCTTTTCAAAATAACACACTGTTATTTACTCACCAATAACACACAATTATCCTTGCTTTTATTTATTGGTTTAATTCCATAATCTCGGGCTTTTTTGGCGTCCGTCAGGAACTGAATTTCAAAATAAAAATAACCGGAAACAGACGTAGGCATTTCGAGCGATTACCCAAGATCCTCAGCTATGGTTTAAGCTCGTTGATTGGATATTTTAGCCGCAATGCATGCTGGGATTTGGTGTTTATATGATATGAAATCCGGAAAACATTTTAAAAGAATAAAATAATACTTAATTCCGAGTGTTCTTGCTTTTCTCGTTGAAAGTCATCACATAACGGCATTGTAATACACGGTTCGGCTGCATTACATATTACAGATCTGCCGTAGTTCTTTATTTATAGAGCCCTGATGAGAAGAAATGGGAAAACTGGGAAAAGCTGGAAGAAATGCCGCCGAAACTGAATACTTGACGTGGATCATAAATATATCAACAATTAAACAACATCTTCAATTTCTCTTCACACAATACGTCTCCTTGCCGTATCAACACTAATTCGGCTGACTTTTACATTTGATCTAATTCATAGATAGGTTATATTTACACCATAACGGTGCACAGCTGATATAAAAGGACTTGTAGTTTTTAAAGATATTACTGATTTTCTTTGAATATAAGAATGTAAATACTGAGTCTGAAATAGTATAGCAATATGCTGTAAAATTATGTGAAAGCATGAATAAAACTACACATCTTCAGATGTTGTACATACATAAGTGTCCTACACTAATAGTTATTATGGCTGTGTGTACCTTGTGTGCACCGCCTAGTGGTTAAAGCACGTTATTGAATTATTGTTTTTATGTGTTATATTTGATTAAAAAAATATTAAGAGTACATACTTTCATAGGGGAAAAGTAGAAGAAGGTATGTGATAGAAATATAGAATATAAAAAATCAAGAAGATACTATAAGTGATCTCTACAATAAAACAGTTTAGTGCAGGAAAGATATTAAAAACAGAAAAACGAATTAACCTTTATTTAAACATTAAATAATACTTTAGATTAAGGTCTTCTTTTAAATAAGAAAAAAACGTTGGGGGTATCTATCTACAGATAAATATTAAGCCTGACAAAGTACTTAACGTCTAATATATTGCTTTCCTGCAATGTTAACTATGTTGAAGCACTTATTTTAACTGATATTATACATATGAATTATACTCTTATGTATGTAGATAGTATAAGAAATGTGCAGAATATGACAGTTTAATGGTGGAGGTACACACATATTGATAGATGTCTTGTACTGCGCTGTTGAGGAACCTGTGACCCAAGATTTTCATTCATTGCATACACCGTAGTTGTGTATATGACATGTCAATAAACCTTTGAAAATCTTGAAAGGGATGTGCAAAATAGCCATAATATACAGTCTTTAATTAACTATTAGTAGAGAATAACGAGTAATGAATATACTTTATTACTCGTTTCCATTCATGTCAATTGCAGATAAATGTTTAGTCTTCTCAAGCATCCATCTTCTCCCGCTTATCCGTGGTCGGGTCTCGGGGGTAGCAGTTCCAGCAGAGAGCCCCAAACGTTCCTTTCCACTCATCAACCTGCTATGACTGGGGGATCCCAAGGCGCTCCCAGGCCAGCGAAGAGATATAATCCCTCCACCTGGTCCTAGGACTACCCCTCGGTCTCTTCCCAGCTGGACGTGCCTGGAACACCTCCCTAGGGAGGCGCCCAGGTGGCATCCTAACTAGGTGCCCGAACCACCTCAACTGGCTCCTTTCGACGCGCCAACTATCAAATAGCTCTCCTGATTGTTGGCACTTGACAATCACCTTAGTCTGATTTAAGGGTTGTTTATATTTCACATCATTAATCAGAATCTGCAAAGTAACTCAAATAAGTGTAGTGGAGTGACTTTTCGTACAATGTCCCACTGTCTGGCTTCCTGCATAAAGTCAAGTGCTCGGCGCAGTTGTGGCGAAATGTCGCTCCTCTGTTTTCATTTAAACAGCTCCGTATATCCGTTAGCGCAGCTAGCTAGCACCAGATGCTAACAACAACAATGCACGTAAGGTCTCTCTCTCGCTCGCTCGGGCCACACATACACACACCCTCCCGGTCCTCCAGATGGCCAGCCGGTGCCTGCCAGTGAGCGTGGAAGTGTGGTCTGCCAGAAGCGGGCGGCAGGAGCGGGGCTGTCAGCATCAGCTTGTAGATGGTATTTTAAACTCGATGCGCTCTGAAACTACGGGGCGGCCGAGGAAAAAAATACACATGCGTTAATCGCGTTAAAATAATTAGTGGCGTAAATATTTTTGTGTTATCGGTATCGGTCTTGAGAAGCAGGAAGTTATCGGTATCGGTTTCAAAAAACCAATATCGTGCATCCCTACTCTGAATTGTAGTGGAGTAGAATTACAAAGTAACAATGAGCTGTCATGTGGGTATATATTAATGCTGCACATTATGGACACAAGCGATTTTCACCCATGTATTAATTATATGTTTTACATTTGATAACACCAATGTGTTTAATACTGGCAACTTCTAATTGTGGGAAAAACGAAAACGTTCAGTAGAGACGTCCCATAGAACATTTTGCGAAACACAATAGCCAGCATGTGTAGTTCTGGGGGGGGGGGGACGTTCGATTCCAGTTTTGGATAGTCTGGCGTGGTTTCGTTCCATTTCACACAGCTGTTTGACGCTCGGCGTAACCTTGGGCACTGACACTCCAACATCCAATCCCAGAGTTTGAAGATTAATCACGGGGAATGTAGTCCTAAACGATAGCTGCTGGGGATTATGGGTAGTGTAGTGTCTTCGGCCATCCTAAACTCCTAGAGGCCTACGTCTGTTTCTGGTTATTTTTATTTTGAAATTCAGTTCCTGACGAACGCCAAAAAAGCCCGAGATTATGGAATTAAACCAATAAATAAAAGCAAGGATAATTGTGTGTTATTGGTGAGTAAATAATAGTGTGTTATTTTTGAAAAGAATAACAAATTAGAAGGAAAAAAAGATATACAAAATACAGATTTCAGTATTCTGAGGCTCTGAGCCCCATTTATTTTCCTCACAGACGGCAACAAAAGTCCGAAATGATACGATTTAAAATAAAAGCAATAATTGTGGCTTGATATTGAGTAAAAACATGTTTTTATGAACCACACAGCTTCCGGTCTTCCACGACCCGACCGGAGAAAAAGACGTGCTGCAGGCACGAAACACATTACCAGTAGAAATACATTGCATTTAAAATCGTGCTGTGCAACACGAAAAAAAGGGGGAAATCGTGTTGGTGAACACGAATCAATAGATTAAAAATCGTGTTGGTGAACACGAAATGCCGTGAGACTGGGTTGGCCCCTTAGCATATCAAGTACAAAAGAAGCACTAGTGTTACATAGTGATTTCATGTTAAGTAAATAAAGGAGTCCAATTATAGAGTTTCAGGAAGGGGAAACTCCCTCTGGAGGAGACATTGGGATTTAAGCCTTTGCAGACCATTTACATGCACAAAAACCTATATAACACACTACAGGAAAGAGAAAACCCCAAAACGCGTATCTTTAAATAAATGAAACTGTGTGTAATAACCATATTTTCAAGAGGTATGGAACTTTTCCTTTTGATGAAATGGTGCAGCCATAGAAAACATGGGTCCTGGGTATTTCTCTCAGTTCTAAAATGATAGTGGAAAACTGGATGTGATTGAGAGGCTGCAGCAAAAAGACGAGACACACGTGGGTCGAGTGTCAATCCAAACAACCATACTTAATGACGTGAACTGATGTACACAAACAGACATGACCTCTTACTGTTCGTTTTTCATTGTTTTATTTTACCAGGATCTCATTGAGATTAAAAATCTCTTTTTTAAGAGAGGCCCAAGACAGGTAGCAGATAGGTAACATTCATAGAAATGTGGAGTGGTCTTGATGCCTAGAATATACATTAAAAGTAGGGCAAAATAAATAAATGAAAAAGTTCATTTATAAAAAGGCATCCAGAAATGTATGGACCGTTTCAGTTGAAGACATTCACAATTGACCATTCTTAAAACAGGATAAATCACATCAAACATACAAAAACATACCAATCTCTGTTTACTTTGTATTTTCTCTAAATTCATTGCATGTTTTTTTTTTTTTTGTCATTCCTATTTTTATGGTTGTTTGAAATGTTTTCTTAACCCTCCTATTGTCTTCGTTCCCCCCCCCCCCCCCCACCTTACTTTGGTGTTCGCGGTCAAATTTGACCGGTCCTGTTTAAACTGCTATTACATTAACACAAAAACCATTAGTCATCACCACATTTAATTTAACACCCTTTCAAACTGTACATATTGTATCAGACTACTGGTATACATGAAGAACTGCAGTAAATATACAAAGAACAGACACTGAACATGCATGTGCCAGGTGTGATCCATGTGGGGGGAGGGGCACATAAGAGCGGGAAATGTGTCAATTTGTTGTGTGTGTGTGCCAGGTGTGATTCACATGGGCGGTGGGCACATAAGGGGGGGGGGAACACATCTCTGTGTGTGTGTGTGTGTGTGTGTGTGTGTGTGTGTGTGTGTGTGTGTGTGTGTGTGTGTGTGTGTGTGTGTGTGTGTGTGTGTGTGTGTGTGTGTGTGTGTGTGTGTGTGTTTTATCTGATCCGGATGGTTACTAATTCCTTTTCTTTATGGCGGTCACCGGGAACACCATGGTGTTACAAAGTTGACTAAATCATCCAAAATACAATGAAAGTGGTGATCAGCAATTTGTATGTTCAAATGTCTACTGTGAAGGATATCATAAAGCCTGAATGCAATCGAATGTAAAACTAAAAAGTTATGATTGATGAAAGTAGTCAATCGGTTAGATTTGACCCGAAGACAACAGGAGGGTTAAAGTGTATTTAGAAAACCGCTTTATACATTAAATTAAATATTATCATCTTGCCTATTTGGGTTTTTTTTTGTATTGTGCATATACCAAAGAATTAGACGAATAACAATTCTGACTTGATGGTACTGGAGTAAAAAATGAATAGCATTATAATTCATCCTCTGGGATTGGGAACGATTATTAAAATGTTTCCAGGAGCTGTTGAGACAATTCAGTCGTGACTAAAGTGGTTTAAAATAGCTACAAATATTTCCTGATAGGATGTTAACCCACTATAGAGAAAGACAGAAGACAGAAACTAATGGACAGCAAGGCTAAAAAAGCCGCTCAGACAAAAACTAATCTCATCCGTCTGCACAGGTCAGATTTCAGTCAGGAAATGGGTTTCTTTCTCTCTTCATTCTTCATCGATTCTTCTTTCTCTTTCACCTTGTCTTGTTATTTCCATCACTCCCTCCTTCACTTGGATGAATAGATAGAAATGAAAAAAACAAACAAGGCGATGTCCTCCTGAAGATATTTGTTTCCCTGCTATGTAGAAAAACACTCTAGCAAAGAGAACAAAATGAAGAAAAATAAGTTAGAAGTCCCCTTTTGTTGGACACAAATGGTACTCAAGAACTAAAATCATAACCTTGAGATGTGTCTTTTTTGGTGGATTTGGTAACTCAAATTAAATGCTGGTGACTCTTAACATTTGTGTATAATATATTCCTAAAACGGGGAATAAGCCAACCACAAAATCACTAATATCTTCTATGTTAATGCATCTTTTTCCTGAGAATCCCAAGCATTGCTCACAGGAATGAAGAGCTACTTTTTACTACTGCTTATTTTAGAATATGGCATTTATCTTAAACATGACAGCAGAAAATATGCGTGCTACGTTAAGTTTCTGTATTGTTTTTATTCGAAGTTGGCCATATGTGAGGGAGGCTGTGGCACAGTGAGTTAGTGTCTTGGTGTTCGGATCAGGTGGGCACAGGTTCAAACCCCACTGCAGTCAGCATGTCGTTGTGTCCCTGAGACACTTCACCCCAAATTGCTCCTGTGGGGATTGCCCACAGTATTGAGTATGTAAGTCGCTTCGGATAAAAGCGTCTAACATGTAATGTAATGTATACTAGACCCTCCAGAAAAACGCGGGCTAAAATCCTTGTTTGCGATCAAACATGCGGGGTTTTATGTGATGTTATGCGGTGAAATTGCGGGAAGTTGCGAAATATGCGGAAAAAATAAATATTGGGCTGTATTATTTATTTATTCTCTCTCACACACAACCTGCCACTAACGTTAAACCCCTTTACTATTCAATTAAACACATTCAATGTTTATTTATTGTAAAAGCAATTGGGCTATTTTTCACACACACACACACACACACACACACACACACACACACACACACACACACACACACACACACACACACACACACACACACACACACACACACACACACACACACACACACACACACACACACACACACACACACACACACACACACACACACACACACACACACACACACACACACACACACACACACACACCACACACACACACACACACACACACACACACACACACACACACACACACACACACACACACACACACACACACACACACACACACACACACACACACACACACACACACACACACACACACACACACGTGAGTTGTTTGGCTTTCTTGTCGGCAGCAGCAGAAAGCATTTTCGAATCTTTGAATGAATCAAAGTGGGTCGTCACCGTCGATGTTCTCTTATGCTCCAACACACAGTTGCACGGGGTGCAGAATAGTTTCCCCCCACTTTCGTGCAAGACATCGGGGTACTGCTTTGAAATGCAGAAATGTTCGTCGGTAAATGAGATGGATTACATTTTTTCATCTTGGTGTTTTCTCTCTCGTGTGAGCTCCACACGTTCACTCTACGGTGTTGTTTACCTTCTGTGATGCGCGAGCTGATGACGTCGCGTCATCATCACTTCACGTCAAGACGAGTTAAAAAATGTTTTCTCAAATTTATGTGGAAAAATGCGGGGATTATGCGGCCTTTTAAAAATATGCGGCCTTTTAAAAATCTGCACCATTTTGCTGATTATGCGGTAAATTCTGCGATCGCAGAATCGCGTTTTTCTGGAGGGTCTAGTATACCTGTTGCCATCTGTGTGTTTCCATGTGAACATACAGTAGGTTGTACATCAGCTGGGAAAACAAAAATCCCCCTGTAAGTTTAAATATCCTATTTCTGGTAGGGATGGGTATCTTTAAGGTTTTAACGGTACTACTACTTTTATCGATACCGCTTATCGGTCCGGTCTTTTAACGGTACTTTTATCGGTTCTTTTGGAGAGAAAAAAAAGTTAAACTAACTAAACAAATTGTGAACAAAACTAACATTGCTTTTTATTTAAATGAAATACATAATATTTCACATCAAAAGAAACAACAGTGTTTTAACAAATCATATGAAATAGTCTGATGACAGAACTGTAAACAGAATAGCTGAAACTTTAACAAAATAAATACATCGGTTACCTCCAGTACCGACAAAAAGACCGATAATGTCGGAGCTTAACGGTACCACGGTCTTTAATAATTCAGCCCCGGGGCCCGTTTAATACCGGGGCTCGGTACCCATCCCTAATTTCCGGGGCATTAAAGAGGTTCAAAGGTCAAAGATGGGTTCAGGTAACAGTAAAACAGGAAACTGTGTTGTCTGGGGATGCAACATGATTGAAAGAGAAGGATGAAAGGAATGTTAGAAAAAAATAACTATAATTTCACAGGAAGATTTGGGGTAGAGGAATGTAAGAATTTGAAGTCCGCTGCAACTCTGACTACTTTTAAATCCAGGCTGGAGTCTTTTCTTTTTGAAGCTACTTTTAATTGAACTATTCACATCTCACTCTGCACTGTAACTTTTATTCACATTTTATGATCTTTGCTTTTTAAATGTTTCAAATGTGTTTTATGCTCTAAATTCTAGAATAGCTTCCCAACTGAGATACGGGATTATCCCACTCTCAATAGCTTCAAAGGTCAACTCAAAGAATGGTTGAGAAACAAACAGACGTGCAGTCACCACTAAATGCACAGGGGTATCTCCTCTTGCACTTTAGCTCTTGTATCTTCTCTGGCACCTTATATGTCGTTGCTGTTATATTGTACTGCCATCTCTTTCGACTCCACTTCGAGCGATAGATTTATTAACAAAGCACTTATATACTAATAAAGGACTGGCTTATCTAAAGCCAGTTGAGTAGCACTTGAAATGTTTGGCTCTATGAAACCTGATGTACTTTATGATTCTGTTTTCTTCAAGGTTGTGTCTTCCTGGTCGAATGTACTTATTGTAAGTCGCTTTGGATAAAAGCGTCAGCTAAATGCAATGTAATGTAATGTAATGTCATGAATACTTGTGTATGCTGCTCTTTTTCTTTTGCATATCATGTATTTTGTTTTTGCTATGTTTGTAAAATGTAATTTTCTTAAATGTTTTATGTGAGGGACTGCGGATGGAAATTAGCTCAAAGCTAAATCTGTTACTGTTACGCTTGACACATTTTTAACGTTTTAAGTGTTCATCACTGTGCATTGTCCCGCCAAATAAACGATTAATTAATTAAATTAAATTAATGTCTTTCATTTTTCTAAAGCACTTTGAATTGCCTTGTGTTGAAAAGTGCTATATAAATAAACTTGCCTTGCCTGTGACAACAACATCTTAATCTAAAATCTTTGCAAAAAGATAATTGAGCATTCTCACCTGAGCAGATGTCATTGAGTTCATGGACTTCTTCCTGTACTTTGAGGAGGAGAACGTCCTGCAGGATCTCCTGCTGCTGCTCCTCAGCCTCCACCCCGAGGAGCTCCAGGTGATGGTCCTTCAGCCTCAGCAACACCCGGCCTGGAAGACAGCGTTCATTGATTCATAAACTGGATGTGTGTGTACAGTACAATCAAATCTCTCTACAAACAAATTCTGTCTAAAAAAAGTCTGAACAATTCTGACTTTTTCTTAAAATTCTTACATTCTCTCAAAATGACTTTTTCTCAAAATCCTGACTTTCTAAATATCTCAAAATTCTTACTTTCTCTCAAAATTCTTACTTTCTCTCAAAATTCTGACTTTTTCTTAAAATCTCAAAAGTCTGACTTTTTCTTAAAATCTCAAAAGTCTGACTTTTTCTTAAAATCTCAAAAGTCTGACTTTTTCTTAAAATCTCAAAATCCTGACTTTTTCTTAAAATCTCAAAATCCCGACTTTTTCTCAAAATTCGGACTTTTTCTAAATACTTAAAAATGTCAATTATCACTCGTCACCGGCTTGAGCTTCAATCTCAGGATCCATGTATCATCACGTACAGAGCATCAACTAGTTCCTGAACAGTGTCCTTCACATGCTGATATCCAAGAGAGGGAGTTACACAGTCACAAGATGGAGGAATAGAAAGCAGTATTCAATGTTTACTTCAGATTAGCTCCACGTCAGAAATGAGCATGCTTGTCATATGTCTCTCTCCATAGAGGCTGAATCATCATGTTAATCACATAGCTATCATATGCCTAAAACAGTCCTGATGCTCTTCTAGGTAATCAGACATCCTGTCATGTTCACAGCTACAGTTGGGATACCTTTGTTATCATGTGTACTCTCATATTGGAAGAGGACATTCAGTATTTCCCCAACAGATCTTATCTTCAATGAACTGTGCAAACAAAGCAGGTTGAGTGTGATGCATGACTTGATACCTGATATGGCGTGTTTAATTATGGCTTTTTGGAGCGTGTCCATCTTGGCCGGGTGATAACCCTGCATCCACTCCAACACTTCTTCCACCGACCACGATGACACGCGCTTAGACAGGCCCATCACTCTGCAACACAGCAGGAGGAGCACACTCTGGAAATACAAAACCACAATAGATAAGATCAACATGTTAACTCGTTTACTACTTAACGGCAAATTTACGTTTGGCCATTTCATGGATAAGAAAGCTGTCAGATATGAAATACTCCAATTACAAAAATGTTTGAAAGAAGTATTTGTGTAACCATCTATCATAGCTTTGTCACTTCATGATTCAACAATGACCTAATGGGTCTACTTACAGCAGATCAAGCCTGAGGTCAAATAAACAGAGTCGAATAATTAGATTGAGGTTTGCAGCAACACTGGCAAAAAGCTGCAAACGCCAAAGATGACTTCATTAATATAATAATTAGAGTCACTTAATATTCTTTTCTATTCTTCATGTTTAACATTCAAAGTGAAACTTAAAGACACATCACTTATTGTGTGTCAGGCTGCAATTAAGTGTTATTTGTAAGCAATTAATCACTCAATATTTGTTTGAAATCCAAATTGTCATTAACATCTTTAAAGATTTGACAGAACATTTTATCCAGAAGAAAATAAATAACACAGCCACATGATCTCAACAGAAAGAAGTACAGTTATTTCAATAAGGACAGCCAGTGCTGTGTATGAACGTGAAAAGTGTTCCTGTGATTATTGAAGTTCACCTCACCAGAGTTTAAAGAGCCTGTGACACGATTTCCCCCCATCATCCAAACCCATCAATTTGAGTAAATATTGTCGCCTTGAAAACCGTTACTGAACTGATTTTGGATATTTGTACTTTGATAACCATTAATCTGCCCTTCAATGTTGACCATTTTCTGGATCTGCTCGGGGATTCTTCAAGTCCCGCCAAATTACGTGTGACGTCATTGCGGGCACAGCGCTCCAGCTGCACCATTCAGGATCCCAGCAGCTGCATGCAAACGCACGATGGCACACACAGCAGCAAGCTCAGACAGCTCAGACAGTTTCATTTTGAACGTGTCTGAGAGCTCGTCTGAGAGCTCACATGAGGCTGAAGGATCGGTTTATGTTGTATCTGTTAGAAGTTTAGGAATTAGGTGCGTCAATATGGGCGATCACACGGTCATGTAGCCAGTGGTGGAATGGGACTAAAAATCATCCCGGGACTCTCGACCGGCCCACTTCTGTACCGCTATTAAATTGTCAACGGGGGGAGTGGGGGATGTCAGGGCGGCGGGTGCTGTAGATAGTACATGTAAATATGTAAATATTTGTGTCACTGCATCCTGGTAAAATACAAATATAATGCAATGTGTGTGTGTTTGACATTAGCGCTGCTAGCCACCTGTGCCCTGTACTACGAAGCCAGTTCAACAGACCCTGGATATGTTTGAGTAACAAACAAACTAACAACAACAAACTAACAAACGAGATCTCGCTAAGCGGTCCTACGACGCTGGTTATCAACTCGGTAAATCAAGCCAGGGTTTCTCTCTCCAGCTGAGAGTGCGTTCACGTCTAAGACACGAGTGGATCTGACTTTAATTACATTTGACTCGAGTGTTTCGTCAACATAATGTGTTGCTTAAAATAATACTTCTGCATACAGTATGTGACACTGTAAGTGTTGCACGGCCAGACACGGCAGATAAGGAAATATATGATATATTATGATATTATATGATCGATGATCTGATTGACGATGTAATATGAATGATAAGTGCGACACGTCGGCGTCTTCTCTGCATAGGCCTACGGCAGTTTAAACTGTATTTCCTTTATCCTGTAATATGACTTGAGAGATTTAAACTCCGCACACTGAGTTGATCTCTTTTCTATAGACGACGGAGGCGGGCAGCGTCAGGTAAAAAAAGTTATTTAGCCTTCCCAAACCTGAGCCTCACGCGCCGCCTATGGGGGATGTGCAGTGACTTATCCGACCGGCCCACTTCGGTACCGGCCCATCGGGATTCGTCCCGATGGCCAGTCCGCGACTGCACCCAGCCCACGTAAACTGTCAACGGGGGGAGCCTCGCTGCGGGGAAACGGTGGACCTGGTGTCCCGATCGGAGTGGGAATAATAATAATAATAATCCGTGCATTTTATCCATTAATTTCCCAACATTGTGGTGAAAAAAACACACGTTTAATCGATGTTGGTGTACTACAACTACAAAAAGCATCGGTTTGTTTTCTCATCAGGAAATGCAGAAACAAACGATTTTTAATCATCATTCTCACGATCATTTAATGTATCATATGTTCGCCGAATTGACATGAAAGCACTAATACATGTAGTTTCATCCACTTGAGTTTACAACTACAAAAATAATCGATTTGTTTTTATATCACATCCTACGGGAGGAAATTCAGTAGCTCTCACTACCGATTTTTAATCTTAATGTAATCATCATCTTCACCACGATCATTTATGTTTATGTTCGCCGAATTGACATGAAAGCACTGACAAATATGAATATACTGTAGTCAACTTCATTACAACGTTATTAACGTGCCTAAACTCAGTAATTCACCATTTCTACGCATGACAACACACTTTGTCCGTGTTTGGCTCTCTCGCCGCACAGTGAAGCGTTCCCGCATTGACGTCACTTCCGGCTTCCCCCAAAACTTCAAAATGAGTCGAAGGAATTTCCCCGCGATGTTCGAAATTATTGATATTTAACGGAACGGTATCGCTTTTTCTTTTTTAAACTGACGGTTCGAGATTACTAGTAGCCCAATATTTCATTGCACAACAGTTGTTGGGATGCTGTCACAGGCTCTTTAAGTATACTTGTATCACATTGAACAAGCAGTTGTCCCTCTGCAGGATCTTAAGGGGCCTACACACCAAACTGACACCAAAGAACACGTCCCGACGGAACACGACTGTTGCGTCGCCTCACGTCTCCTGCGTCTTGGCCAACAGTCGCACTGGAACACACCGCAAAGACTTCAGCCGACGGCCAAGTAGCACGTACGAACGGCGCAATAACTCTCCTTACCAGCAGGCGGCGGTTTTGCGGTATGTGCGGTTTTGCCCAGGGCGCATTAGCCGAGGACATTGTTTTCTGTTGTTCATCAAACGTAAGGAAATGAATAAAACACTTGAGATTAAATGGCCTTACCAAGATGGTGACAAATATCACGATGAGGGATCCCTCAGAGCTGAAAATAGCAGCAAGGTGACATCCACCAACTCCGACACCAAGTCAGAAAAGTTCTCCCAAAAACTTTCTTTAGCCTGCGGTTCTTCTGGTTTTCCTCCCGGCTCTATCCTCCTGGGCTGCACCGCTATAGGGCGAAAAACTGCTAAACTGTTGATGTGACCTTTTCAGCAGACCAGTCTGGTTATTGGGGTATAAATATAGGAATGTAATTTCCTGTGTTAATTAAGGGGGATGCGTGATTGGCTGGTGCAATAACAAGGTCCCAGCAGAGTAATTGACATACAGACGCTGAAGACCTTTAGACCGGGGCAAAGACACGGAGGAAACTTACAACTAGAGTCAGGTCGAGTGTAAAGGAGGAAATCTCACGGCTGATTTTATGCCTCTGGACAGCATTTCCTAAACGATATGACTCCCAAACTGGGCTGACATCTTCAGGGAAATAAAGTGGATGTGTAGCCTCTTGTCTTGCTCTGAAGCATTCATTTATGTCACCCAGTTACAAGTAAACCAGGACTTGTAAACAGAAGTAATATACGGGAACAAGAAAGGTGTGGAAATTGGCTTTTTGAAGGTGATTTTACCATCCTGTACTATAACTGCAACTTATTAATTAATGTCCACAACTTAATCCAAATGGATGTGTTTAAATCTTTATGAAACACACGCCTGCTGGCTGCTGCCCAGGCTACTTCTACTTTGAACGTTTTATTGAGCTTTAGGGTAGCGACGTTGAAGTGAATTTTTGGGCAGCTATTCAGGTTTGACTTGGCATCTTGATTTAATATATATAGCAAACGGAACTGTATTAAAAGTATAATGCATAGAAGTGGTACCAGGTAGGTGTTTTAAACAGAAAGCAGTGCATTAATATCACTCTTGGTGATTTGAAAAACCCTTTAAAACATATTTCCACATAACTTCAAAATATGTTACATGGATGGATGTTTTCTAAAGCAGAAATGGGTGTATTTAGATGTGTCTCTTATTTAATATATAATGCCTGAGCTTCAGTATTAGTAGAAAAAAGAAAAAAAATCTGATACCATAGTTGAGGAATTTAAACATTTCTATCTCCAACACTAATTTCATAAATAAAAAAAGTGAAAAAGTGAAATGTTGCCTAAACACAAACAGTCATACAATGTGCATTAATCACTACAGTCTGAAATTGGCTAAATCAAGATGTAATCCTGAACGTGCCTTAACAAAAAGACAAAATAAAGAATCACCAGAGTTCACATGGGAACCAAAACCAGACGTAATGTTCTAACAGGACACAAATTCAAGATGCATCCTTCATGCTTCCTAAAGTGTGATTCTACCATCTTGTGGTGCCTTGCAGAATTACTTAATCTCTTGAACAAGCCTTAAAATGTTACAGTTGAGTTTTACAAGTTCAGAGACTTCATTTGTTTGCAGCCTTTCTTAGCCTAATGCAATCTCGATTTAATGCACTCGTTCTACAATGGTAGCAAGTTAGGGCTGATTTTTATGTTAATAATTAAAAGTGTTTAAAGCATGAATTCCTTAAAAGAGGACTATTTAAGAATATATTAAGAGTTGTGTATAAGCTTTTTATAAACTCGTCATTCATCACTTCATTGAAAACTGCATTGCCTTACACACACACACTTCGTTCAATGTTGATTTAAAAAGTATAAAATGTGGTTGAAAATGTTGGCATTTCGACCAAATAACGTGTTTTCTTAAATGCAGGGAAATGCCGAATTACTCTTAATTAATTAATTAGAAAGTTACTCTCAGACGTATTTTCTGTGATATAGCAGTTTTCCATCTGTTCTGGTAAATGAAGCCTGGTGAGAATGTAATAAATATGAATGTAATTTGGCGTGTTGCCTGAGTACGTGGGAAGAGATACGGCCCGCACACAGAGGGATTACAGTCACCCATCAACAACTGCATTTCATAACACCAAACATCCTTAACAGCAGGTGCAACTAAACACTTACGTCTTAACACACTTTAAGTATGTTTTTCTGAGTAGAAAGTTATATTTACCTTCAGTCAGTTGTCTGTTTTTGACAGAATATTCCTCTACCTGTTGAAGTGTAACGTTCAGGTAACACAAAAAACATTCCTTTTCCCGGATCCGCCCACTAAGGTGCAGCTGCGTGATGCCTTCAGTGCTGTCAGGAATATCTGTATTGCACGTGCATCATAACGAATTCCCTTTTCAATACTGTAGCTTTGTAGCTTTAAGTCCCCTAAGAAACTCTTCCATCCTTCATTCCTGTGTAAGTTTTTCATTATTGGGGTCATTTCATTACAAATAAATCCAACAGGGCGTAAGAAACGTTTCACCTTGAGGGCCTTACCAACTCACTTTAGTTGTGAATTGGTGTTAGTGGTACATATAAGGCTACTTACTACACAGTACACTACTTTTCTCTTGAAGGTGTGATTTATTATAAAAAATGTATACAATAAAAATTAAGAACTAGAATATTGGAGCTGTTGTCGTGTTTATGTACAACTTCATGACTATATTGATTGGTGTTGATGGGGTCATGAAGGCACCACCAAATTAGGTCAGTAGTCCTAATAGTTTAAAGGCCAAAAACTAATATTTATGTCCCTTTCCTTTTTCCAGTTTCTGTTTCAAGTTCCGTTTAAAACATTTTTTCAGATAGCATAAAACCTTTAGGTCAAATAATATGCCATCTTCACCCAACAGGGGGCGCAAATGTGGTCTCTTTCTCCCCCTCTCTTCTGCACCAGCTGCTCGGCTGCAGAGAAAACTACAGCTGGAGTTTTGTGATGGTCACGTGATGATGTTGTCAGTATATTACTCCCAATGTTTCAGCGTGTTCGCTTCTATAGAGCACTGAGAGTGTGCATGGTGCAGTGTTCCCCTCTGCCTGCAGTCTGTCCTTCACATTTTAATGCATTGTTGAACTCTTTGACAGCTGAAAAAAACCTGGAGTTAAAGCAACTAGAAGCTACTTTTTGAGAGGAATTATGAGACACGTGGAGCTGTGATTTTGTTTACCAATTGACAGCTGACAAGGTGAGACAAAATGACTTTTGCAACTTCAGTTTGGTGTTTAATATCGTGCTGAATTAACATAATCTGGCACATTTGTATCATGTGAAATGCATGAATCCTGCAGTGGCTGCACCTGTTTCAACCTCAGCTGACTGTCACCTGTCATTCCTTTTAAATATATATTATGTTGCAGGGAGCATTTGAGTTCAAAGCTCATTATTAACATGTGTGCAAAGAACATAGTAAATAGGGACTTCATGAAGTGATTAAAGCTCTTTGTGTGAGTGTTAAAAGGTTACTGATTCGCTAAGCAGCCGTTTCAACTCACTGCATGATTCATTGTGCTTTGACCTTTTTAAGATGGTTTAAATATTCATTGCAATGAAGCTGAATGGAAACAGTTAAAAGGCTGATTGGATGCATGTAATGTATTCTGGAGGAATGCTACATGGACAAAAGGACAGGAAATGCACTTTTAATGGAACTCATCCGCAGGAAAGTGTCGCTTTGTGTTTGAGCGGTCATGGGTGAACTATATCTGCCTTAAATTAACCGAGCAAAATGGGTTAATGTTGCACACGGGTGACTGAGCAATGATATGGGATGGTTCATGGTTGCATTATGTATAGAGAGATTGTGTTCCCACTAAGCGCCCTATACCTCTGTGTACAGAAGCCTCATGAAATCACCTTCAAGTGGGAAATAATGACGAATTCAACTTCAGATTAAGTTCAGGCACCGGTTGTGGAGCCACTCAACATCTTCCTGTTAGTGTGTGTTTGTGTGAGGAAACCCTGTGTGTATGCATTTGTGCACATATGAGATGTATGCATGCATAGTTTTGCTTTTTAATTAGTGTTGCATTATGCTTTAGTTGTATGTCTTTTTTCTTTTGTTTGACTATAAAACATATTTAGTTTATTTTTGAAATAAAATGTGATCTTGAAGTGTTTTTACTGCTTTCTCTGTTAAGTCATTTAAAACATCCCAATCCATACACTTCTGTTCCTCCCGAGACCACACACGCTGGTTCGCTTGCAGACGATCAAGATGCTCAGCTGGGGGAAGGTCTCGTGACGTGATGATGCATGAAGAGATAGTTGTGTCCTCTATAGCTGAGTGAATCTCAACTGTCTACCTGTGGGGAGTCTCTCAATGTCTCATTTACCTTGGTTCAAAACTCATACTCAACTTGGAGGTACTTGTACTTAAGTATTTCCATTTTATTTTGTTTAAGTTGATTAAAATCGTTTGAATAAGGTGTTAAGGCACACAGCTTTTTCTTCTTCTTCTCCATCTCCTTCTTCTTCTTCTCCATCTCCTTCTTCTTCTTCTTCTTCTTCTTCTCCTTCTCCTTCTTCCCCTCCATCATGATCTGTTTATAGTGATTGGAAGGATCTCAAAGAAGGAAAGCCTCGAGTCATTTGAGGGTAGTGAAAATCCCCTCCCCATGAGGGTTCAGCCACATTAAATCCCCAGATTTGACCTCATCTCTTTAACACTGGGATCAACAGCTGATCATGTGCTTTGATGGATAATGTGGTGATCAATCAAATGCTGACCTGGATGAAGGGAAAAGACGGAAAAAGTCATCAATGTCAAAGGTTATAACGACTTCTTGGAGTGTGCTCCTTTCACCAACTGTGAGCTTTGCTGTTCAAGCCTTTTTGTGATTTATGGCCAGTGTTGCCTTTCGTGGAGTCAGTTCTGAAAATGCTCCGGTAGAGTTCATATATTTGTTGTTTTGGGTAGTCTGGCCCTTCAAACCTGACACATACCGAGCATATTGCTGGAGGGATAAGTCATATGTTTGTAGGCCAACCAGGAAGTTAGCAGCACCTTGGTTCCCTTGACAAAAGCCAATGGGATCTTTCCATTTAAAAACATGTTAAAATCTCTTGAGCTTGTGTTAACCACAGACCTTATTTCCGCCATCTAACAAAAAAAAAAATCAAAAACGCCACTGACGAAGAGACGAGGCAAGCAGAAGTACCAAATTGCTAACTCACTACTTGGTTTGAGGACTCATTCGCCAGCACTCTCCTTTTATTCTAAATGTCATGTTTTGTATTATTTAATCCACAGTTCTAGAGATAGACTCTTTGCTTTCCCACCATCCTCTGTTGGCACTGACTAACAAATGAACTGAGTGTGTGATAAAATACTTGTACCCCTCCAAAGTCAGTGTAATTACAAGATAACTCACACACACACACTCACACTCTGTAGACACAGTGACACACACAACACACACGGATAGCTCAGTGGGATCTCCTAGCAGCACTAATGCTTCCTGCCCAGCTTCAATCTAAACATCAACCTGACCCCTCTCTCCCCTCCTGTGATGAGAAAGTCCAGACTGAGCGCTTTTTAACGACTTAACAAACACTCAGCCGTCGGGGCTTCTGGGAGTTTAACACCCCGCGGACTCCTGACTGTGCAGCAGATTCAATTTTCCTCCTCGGAGATGTCTCTGTCTGCATCTATTTGTTCTGCGTTCCCTCTCACTTTCGGCCATATATGGTTTGCATCATGTGTAGCGTGGGAAACCAGGAGAGTAAATGTGCTTAGCTCAGAGTAAATACTTGGATATACGTCTGCAGCTGATCACGATTCATTATCAGTTCAAGTGTTGAGGTATAACATTTAAAATTCAATCTGCTTTTACTTAAAAATGTACTTATGTCATCGTAGGAGTGACAGAAACAGTAGCTCATCAATAGCAGCACCTGCTGGATGAAATGTCAACCGTGTGTTTGAGATGGATTTACTTCTCGTGGTGATAAGTGGCCTTTGAGACACATTCTTCTCCCAGGAGATGTTTTAATGAGATTTATGTGTAAGGTTACGAATGGAGGACATGTTGGAACCCTGCCATAACAATATCTGCCAAAGCCCTTCTCATTTATCACCTTGCGTAATTCATATGGGGTTAAAACCTGAGAGAGTTATGGTGCTGGAGCTTAATGTCAGCCAACTGTGGGTCATTGTTTCAAGGTTACACTTTTATAAATGAAGCCCCAGGAGATTGACATTCTCAGAGGTGTATTTCAAATGGCGAGTGAGATATTTGTGTTCATATCGTGCCAAATGTTGGGTCTATAAGGATTATACTCTACTGTTTATAGAAGAAGATTTATGAGCAGCATGTTTCAGTCGTATAGGTTTTACCATAATCACTACTTGTAAATACCATTCACGTTCAAGTCGTATTAACAACTCTGGACTAGCAATCGTGTAAAGTCCACAATTCAGGGTGTTCAAATTCAATGGATATATTCCACTTTTGCCCCGTGACTGATCTTTCCTTAATGCAAAATGTCTTTATGCCAATGTATTTCTAGCTTAAAGAAAAACATGAATCCAGCTAAAAGAAAAACAGGCGGACAGCAAAAACACACCGCCTGTCAAACTCTGTTGGTAGAGGAAACATATCTCATGACTATAGGTCTGAGACAGCCACAATCCTCCCACCACAAGTGTGTGTGTGTGTGTGTGTGTGTGTGTGTGTGTGTGTGTGTGTGTGTGTGTGTGTGTGTGTGTGTGTGTGTGTGTGTGTGTGTGTGTGTGTGTGTGTGTGTGTGTGGTGTGTGTGTGTGTGTGTGTGTGTGTGTGTGTGTGTGTGTGTGTGTGTGTGTGTGTGTGTGTGTGTGTGTGTGTGTGTGTGTGTGTGTGTGTGTGTGTGTGTGTGTGTGTGTGTGTGTGTGTGTGTGTGTGTGTGTGTGTGTGTGTGTGTGTGTGTGTGTGTGTGTGTGTGTGTGTGTGTGTGTGTGTGTGTGTGTGTGTAGGGTGAAAAGTGCAACCCAGGCGGTCAAAGCTCTCATGACTGTTTCACCTGACTCACAGCACCAGAGGGCACCAATAGAAGAAAAACACACACATTTGAACTTCCACAATTGTGAGGACTTAATTGTATTAACCCTTAACTTCACTACGTAGCCTGCCCAAATCCATAGGTTGTTCAAACACCTGATTTCTGATCCATTTAATGTCATATTTATATTCCTTAAACTGTTCACCTACCATGATGTCCTGGAAGAGAGACTTGAAACTTTTTGATGACTGAATAATATAACTTGATGTGTTGATACCTGTAAAGGAGACAAGTGGACCAAAACCATGCAAGGAGATTGTCCTCCACCCATATGAAAGCATCTACATTCGTGTGTTACTTCAGGATAGTAAGCGGTACACCGTTTTGGTTGGTTGAGGAGAAAGTGTTTCATCATGTGTAATACTAACAGTGGATTGTGTGTTTTGTCTCCAGTCAGGAGGAGATGGAGAACAAGGCGATGTATCTGAGCACGTATGAAGAGAGAGAGAGCGGCTCCATGTATGAAGAGGCCTACGATGGACACAACCTGTCCAAGCTCAACCTGTGTGATGAAGGTAAGGACCACAGCGGAGATAAATGCACATTTCTTATCCAAGTAACAGACTTCTTTAATCCATCTTCATGGTTATAGAAGCAGGAGAGAAACACTAAATAAATTGGTCACGCACAAGAATCTGTAGTCAAAAAAATATGTTGAACTTCAGATATCTTGCATTGCAAATGAAAATCCGTCTTATTGACAGAACTTCATACACCCAGATTGATTCAAAGAGGGACTTTCTACAAAGACACACACACACACACAAACACACACACACACACACACAAAAGAAGCAATGCAGTCACCACTTGGCATTCACTGTATACCTGCTATGATCAGCTAGGAATGTCCAGCAACATCTGCATGTGTGCGTACAGTGTGTGTGTGTGTGTGTGTGTGTGTGTGTGTGTGTGTGTCTGTGTGTCTGTGTGTGTGTGTGTGTGTGTGTGTGTGTGTGTCTGTGTGTGTACAGGTGCAGCTGCAACATATCCACTCCTGACCCTGTGGTGTTCTCAGATTTCGACCCAGGGCTCTGTGAGTTTGGTGGGAAAGTCTTAGGAACAGAATTTGTTGACATTTTAAGGGAGGAGAACAATGGCCACACACATCAGAGAGACTGTCCTCATCCAACTTCTCTAATCCGGGAACATTTTCACACATCGTTCAGTTACAGAAGATATTCCCAACCATGCAGCTGCTTGTTTCGTTGAGGTGAAATAGAACAGAGGAAAAAACAGTTGGGAAGTTTCTGTCAGTGTGCATTATGAGGTAAACACTGTGAACAACGGTTCATTACACATTCAATTATTCACTTAAACGCACTAATAAGGTCCTCTCATTTTATCAAAAAGCTTATGTATTTCAGGCGCTTTCTGATTGGAATAAGAACGTTTTAATTAATGCTGTCAAAATTATCGCGTTAACGGCGGTAATTAATTTTTTTAATTTTTTTGAAGTTAAAATATTTAACGCATTTAACGCATGCGCATAATGGCCCGCCCCCGGCCCCATACATCCCACCAATGGCAGCGCCAGGGTATGGCTGGGGTAGGCTACAGCCATACCAAGAAATGGCTTAGCCCCATTTTAGCCCCACCATGAAAAATGATGTTAAAGTAAGCAAAATAAAGTCCGCCAACTCACGGAGTAAATTGCACAGACAGCAGTTAGTAAGATTGATTTCAGTAGCCACTTGTCTGGAAATACCGAAGACTAGAAACGGTTTTGAAAACTTTTGTCACGTAGTGATCGTCTTCTCAATAGAACATCTTTGATAATGTCTTCTGGCCAATCAGAATCAAGATAACGGCGTGGTGTTGTTGCAGGAAGTCCCGATACATCGATACAACATTACGTGTTGATAGAAATCAACACGTAATGAATTAAGACCCCACGGTTTGATGATTGATAGGTGTGTGGGCTGTCTTTTATTTTGACACACAGAACAATGTTATAATAAACATACATAGGCCTACATACTGTATGTTAAATGGATATATCCGCCTTCTTTCATTTATCTTTCCATTCCCACAACAATATACATAAATAAATGGCATATGTTGGACATAGTTCGAATGGTGATTAATCATGATTCATTCATTTTTAAACTGTGATTAATCTGATTAAAATTTGTAATCGTTTGACAGCCCTAGTTTTAATAAATGTTCTTCATCATTGTTGGGTTTATTTTAAAAAGTTTGACAGATAGCCCATGTTTTCAGTCATTTGGCTATTTAATGGTGTGCTGTTGTTATGTTTGCCTGGGACCCCTCCATCTCAAGGCATTTATGAACTTCTAATCGTGTGTAAAATACAGGCTTTATCCAGAAAAGACATCTGATTTTACGGAGCAAATGTGGTCCTAATTTGACCAACTCTGGCATTAGGTATAATCAAGCCTCTTCACTATGATTGGTCTCACTTGTTTAAAGTAGTTTAAACAGCCCATTACCATTACCTTTAATGACGATATGTTAAAGTTCAAATATACACACATAGATAAGTGTATTTAAAGCATGTTTTGTTTATGCGAACACACACACGTCATGTCACCATCAACCGACAATAACAGAGACACTGATTTGTATGCACTTGCCCAGCACCATGTGCATTTGATTTGGAAAGTAATAGTAGCTAAGTCCTTGTAAATGCACTAATGTCCCACAGTCAACAGTCAGAAGCAGTTCCAGGGCTGACTCACAATGACCCTGCAGGAAATAAACAGATTTGTGGAAACTGTATTGTTGCTCCTCCAGTTTACTAATAAAATGAGCCTACACATGTTAACCCCACCTAATCCCTGTATTAAATCCATTGTCTCTTAAACACAACAATATGTTGACAACAACATCCCAGCCAGATATGAGTCAGAGGGAACATTCAGCGGTGCAGTAATGATTCCAGTTATTTGATGAATGAATATTGACTTTTATCTCTCGTTTCAGTTGGGACAGCTGCAGAGCGTTACTTAAAAGTCTTTTTTAGAGAAGGTTGTTGGTTGAAAAACATTTCAACATATCAACAGAACATTTTGACAATGGATTCATTGTTTTTTTAAGCAAAAAATACTAAATGTTTTTCCAATTCCCTTATCAGCTGCTCCAATGTGAGTATTAGCAGCTTCTATCTGAGTTACTTCATTGTAAAATGAATATCTATGGATGTAAGACTGTGTGAAAATAAGCCATTTGAAGATGTCACATCAGGCCTAGGGATTGTGATCAATTATTTCATTAACTTTTTTTATCACGTTTTGTCGAGTACATTTTCATCACTAAATCAAGAATAAATCAAATTAACTTTCTTTCCAAGGTCTTACATTGAGTTTAGGTAAGGTGGTTGAAAAACAATATGTGTAAATCTTGCAAATATTGTGTACTCTTAATTGATATTTCTTTATGTAAGATAAAGTATAACATATGTTTGGCTGCTGCCCGTCCACAGCAGTACATCACTTTGCTTTTATGATGTAACTTCTCTCCGTTTCCCCAGGGCATGGATAAGTACCTCACACAACCCCACTTTAAAACATCCAAACTATCCCTTTAAGGCACAGACACGACGGTGTTATCATATCAATTTTACCAACCAACTCTTGGAATGACATCAAACAAGTCATGTTTACAGTCATGCAGCTTCTCATGCGAGTCAGAGAAAGAAAACGTCATGAGACAGAAAATGATGTGATAATTTCCCCCTAAAACTCTACACCGCTGGTTTTATATTCCTGCCTATTTTTAAGGTGTGTGTGTGTGTGTGTGTGTGTGTGTGTGTGTGTGTGTGTGTGTGTGTGTGTGTGTGTGTGTGTGTGTGTGTGTGTGTGTGTGTGTGTGTGTGTGTGTGTGTGTGTGTGTGTGTGTGTGTGTGGTGTGTGTGTGAGTGTGTTTGTGTGTGTGTGTGTGTGTGTGTGTGTGTGTGTGTGTGTGTGTTGTGTGTGTGTGTGTGTGATGTGTGTGTGTGTGTGCTGTGTCGTTGTTTTGTCTCAGTTCAGCATGAGTTAAACTCTAGAGCAAACTAACTCAGAGCAATTTCTGATCCTATACATTCCTGTCATGTGACACATCCGAGCCAGCTGTGTTTGTCTTATGCCGGAGCAGCGTGTGTTCTTCATCAGTGTGTGTTCTTCATCATTGTGTGTGTGTGTGTGTGTGTGTGTGGTGTGTGGTGTGTTGTGTGTGTGTGTGTGTGTGTGTGTGTGTGTGTGGTGTGTGTGTGTGTGTGTGTGTGTGTGTGTGTGTGTGTGTGTGTGTGTAGTGTGTGTGTGTGTGTGTGTGTGGTGTGTGTGTGTGTGTTGTGTGTGTGTGTGTGTGTGTGTGTGTGTGTGTGTGCGTACAGCTACAGCTACAGCTACAATCCACTAGTGGCCACTGACTGATTGTCACGGTCCAAATGAAATCATGCTGTTGGGAGGCCGTGCTACAAAATCAGTGTTTAAATTCAGAACCAGGACTCGAGCCAACATCATGACTGTTCACAGGAAGATAGGATCTCATTAAAACATTTTTAGTATCCCAGCGAGTATAATATCTAACATACTGGTCATGTCACATACTGTAGGCATAATGATTTCCCAGAGACACATGGCTGTTCATTTGTCTACGTTTTTTTTTCATCCATCCAGCTCATCTCAAGCTAAATGTTGTATAGGTGGTAACTGAAAACTCTCACAAATATTTAAAGGCGCCCTACAGTATAATGCTTGTTGGGATGTTCCCTTCCTGTAGTGTGGTTTGTGTGCATGTGAATGGTCTGCAAAAGCAAGCATCCCAAAGTTCCCTCCAGGTAGAGTTTCTCTCACACACTAGAAAGTAAACATGTCACTGTAGAGGCACACAATACAAATATAAACCTGAAAATAGCATAATAGGTCCCCTTTTAAATGTTACCCTATTTCAATAACATCAAAAATGTGTTTTTGAGCAGTTGTGTGCAGAATGTCATTCATTCATTTATTCTCTCAGCTTTATTGTTGAACTCCTTCATGCCTAAACCCAATACTTCTACTTATGGGAAAAGCACAGTGTAGTTAAATCATACTATTTTCTTGATCTGATTATTCTCTTTTGCGTTCATGCATGTAAACATAATCAATTTGTGTTTATTTTCCTCTATTCTTTCCCTTGAAACTGAGGCATGTAACATGTTGGTATAACAGCCAGATTAAATCTAATCTCCATTTAAGAATCATTTCAATCACATGTTATTTTAATGAGGCATAACACACATTCATTTCTGTAACACTACTGAGGATAATTTCTTAACAAACAACATTAAAAGTAACATGACATTGCTATTCCCATGAGTGCTGAAAGATATGATTCTAAAAACGATCCTTTGAAAATCCTTTTGACCTGAGGGGAATGTTCCCTCGACAACAACAGCATAATCCCTGCCTCCTGCCAAGCTATCACACACACACTCACACAAATAAAAAACACACTTGTTTTGCTAAACTTTGAATAGAAAAACGCTTCCATAAAACAAAAACAGTTGTCAAATGTATCAAGACTAATTCCCAAACATCTGAGAGGAGGTTTAAATGGTGACATGAATTATATTATTTTTGTGAATTTTAATGACTGATTTTAAATGCCTTTTTCATTTTTTGTAAAGCACTTTGAATTGCCTTGTGTTGAAAAGTGCTATATAAATAAACTTGCCTTGCCTTGAATTCTGTTGAATTTATTTGAGCAATGTCTGTGTGTGTTGCTTTCCCAAATGCTTGCATCATTTCTCACCTCATATATATTTGACATAAGACCATAATAAGCCAGTAAACAAGTGTATTTGATATTGTCTCGTACGTCATTGAAGGAGTAAATGTCAGGCTTTTCAAATAAAAGCTTTCTGGGGTTATTTGTTTTAGCTCCGACCTTTACTAACATTATTGCATGAAGAAACTAGAAAACACGAGCTTAGCCTTACACACAATGTCCCAGCCACCACTTAGAGACATTTCTTTGTTTTGTAGCAGGCTAATCTTCAAACAAACTTATTAAACATGTTTATTCCAAAAGCCAACTTCCACTTGCTGTTCTTAAGAAAACCTGTCACCTCTATTTGGACTTTTTACCGACCCAAATGTCTTTGTTGTTTTGCTCAGGTTCTGGAAAGCGTCGCAGGAAGCAGGATCAGTGCTGTGCTCACCTGAACTCCCTCTCTGCCATCAAGTACGCCATCGTCTCCCTCTACATCCTGGTACTTCTCACCATCTTCGGACTCTGCTTGGCAGGTAGGGTGTGACCTGGTCCTCCATTAGCTGTATCTCTTTGACCATCACCAAACATTTTTTGATTTCCAGGGAACATTTAAAGGGCAAAATGCACTTTTTGATGTCTTTTATACATAAATATGTAGTGGCGAACCGTGTCTATCACAACTGGACCTTCTGTAGACACACACCCCCCCCCCCCCCCCCGCCGCCCCCCCCTCCGCATTATAATGTCCGTCTTTTCACTGAATTGTCGTCTTGAAAAGGGTTCTCACAACAATTCCGCAACAACTTCATCTTCACCTTATGCACTTGTCATTTCAACGTTAAAAACAATAAAACGGCATGAATTGCTTCGTCGCATTCATCTAGATCAGTGTTTCTCAAACTTTTTCATACCAAGGACCACTTAAACAATAAAAAAACACTCGCGGACCACCTAACTCCACAAATATAAAAAAACACATCGTTTTTCTAGAACAGATTACAAATCGCCTGAAAATGGTACAAACAAGTGGCAACATGTGTGACGAAGGTGTTGCACTGGGCTATATCATGCAATCGATTAACCTCGCTCCATTGTGGAGATATTCCCGCGAGAGTGCGGAAAACTGAAATGTATTTATTTATTTCAAATGTGAAATGTTACCAATATACTCACGGACCACTAGGGGGCGCTCACGGACCACCAGTGGTCCGCGGACCACACGTTGAGAAGCACTGATCTAGATCCTCTGTCTCGAGCCAGTTAACTAGCGGGCCTTCTAGAGTATCCTGGAACCGAGGGAAACTCTGAAAGAATACGCCCATTGGCTACAAATCAATATATGATTGGTTGATCGAACTGTCAGTCCAAACGTACAGTACGCTCTCATTCAGTGCAACGGCCAGGGCATTCGATCAAGGATGTAGAATACCTTGGTTGAAGGATATTCTACCCAGAGACCCAGAACAAGATCTGATTGGTTGCTTTCTTTTCTAACACAAAACCACTGAAATGCGTAGTGCATGGTCCAAGAAGGAGAAACAAATCAACGTAACTCTGTAATATTACAGATCAACACAGATACGATTCTCATTTATTCATTTTACATACATTTTATTACATTTTATTTCTATAATTAAATGGATTTTTTTGTTTGTTTTATCCGAGTGTTCCAGGGTATTCTCTGAATACCTTGAAGGCCCTGACGGTTCGCCACTGATCCCCGGTGTGTCGAGGAACTCACAAAGTGTCCGAAAACCAAACTCTCTCTTTTCCTCCGTACCCAAATCTCTAAAAACGAGGGAACAACGGAGCTGATCCAGATTTGCGTCCGATATGACGTAATATCGGAAATGTGGACCCACGGCCCTATTAGAAAGTTGCTATCAGAAACAATGCCCGACTGTTTTGGACGTAATATGGTCTTTGTTTACATTAGCATCGCTAACACTAACCTGTACTGGAGAGAGCATGTGTTTAAAAAGCAGGAAATAAAAAAAGGAACTCACCTTGTGATAAACCCGCAAGAGAAAAAGCATTTGAACTCCATACTGTTTCAGAGATAATCCTTGATGTGGTTTGGAACATGATGGCGTTTAATCACGGCAGCATTTAGCTGAGTATCTCGTAGAATTCTGAGCAGGCACAAGCGCCCCTCCTTTTTTTTTTTTTTCAAGCTAAGGACCCCGAATCAGCAGTTTTCAAACAGGGCTGAAATAGAGGGATATGAGGGATGTCTAAAAATGCATGATCTGTTTGGTATTTTCAGCAAAACACGTCATAGACATGTTTTTATATATTTGTATATATCTGAGACCCATAATATATGCCTAAAAATAGCATAATAGGAGACCTTTTAAGGAGTAGAGGAGCTCTGAAAATACAAGAATGAATAGTTTCACGACTTCCTTAATGTGCATATTGGCCGTCTTTTGTTCTCAGAGTTCAGTTATGCAGATGACATCAGCCATTCCTCAAGGTTGAATTGCAAACAAGGACACACACATACACACATGACCCACTTATTCAATCCAAGGTTACACTCTTGGACGTGGTCTGAAACCTTACCCCCCTTTTTAAACTGTCTGTTATAGTTTAGCGTTGAGCTAACACACTGAATAAACAATCATATGAAGCCTAACCTAAACTTCAGTCATGTAAAAGTGCTGTTGGTGATTTTATTGACTTTCCTCAGTTGACATTTTTACTTCCATAGCTGTTGAAATGTGTGTAATATAACGTTTCAGGACCAGAAGTAGCACATATCTGAATCTATTAAACGCAACTTTGTAGTAAATTGTGAAATAGTTGTTTTTGTAGTTCTTTACAACTGTTTTCTTTGCCTCCTGAGCGCTGAGTAAGTGTGATGGGTTTAAACTTGTTTTCTAAATATATCACAGTTTGTTTGAAGCATGACAAGCTTGACTTTTTAGAGGGTAACATAAAAGAGAGGGTAGCGATAAAGCGCGACGGTTCCATATTTCTTTGTGCTGGATAGTTCCCATACCTCCTTAATGCATGGCTGTGGGAGTACCAGGTTTCAGTCTGCAGAGGAATGCACTCTACATGTATACACAAAGGCTTTTAAGAGTGAGGAAAAAAGACCATTACCTTTGGCCTGATTCTGCGAGATGAAAGCCATGATAATGCGGTTCAGTCTTAAAAGTTTATGCGGTTCATTTCACTGTTCAGCATTTCTTGACTGTAAGTCGAAAACTGTCAGAGAAGAACAGGAAGTACGGTTTAAAGCTTGAATGAAACTCAGTTTGATGATTGGATTTAGCATTTTAGCGTACAACCTGAAGGCATTTGGCCCAGATGTTATGCGTTTTGGGTTGTGACCAGTTTAAACTCTCCAATGGTAGCGTATTCACCATCATGACAGACTCACAGTTTAGGCCAAAGACTCATTGATGTTATAATCGTTCTTATGGTACCCTAAGCAAACTTAATCATTGCATTGTTCAGTAATACTTTGAAGAAATACTTGCAGATGTACAGTATATGCATTACATACGGGGAATGTCACATTTAGAATATACAAAATTAACCCAATGGACGGACCCAACAGACATTGGGGGCAAAACTATTTTTGTTGTCAATTGCACAAATGCACAATAAAGTATAGCAAGGTGTACTGCAAATTATATCAAATTGTACTTTAACCACTGATCAGGATTATCTTTGACTTATTATCTTTTTGTGGTTTTCACTGTTTGTCCATTGAATATAATATTTCAATGCGCTAATTACACAAAAGATTGGTTGAGCTTGTAGCTGTTTCTAAATAAAATTTGAAGCGTATTTTTTTTTGACATTGGAAGAAACTGTCTTAATTAAAGGTCCTCTTGCGTCCTCTGAAAAATACTTGATCTTTTCATGACCTTATGTTTAAGTTACAGTATATGCTGTTGAAGAGTGACAATTGGGATGTAAAATGGGAAAAACAACGAGACTTTGTTTAAAACTTGGGAATTGAGACAAAAAAAGATGCGCCTTTTTAGCTTTGAATGACTAATTCCTTAATTAGGGACCACTCACTGGTACATTATGTAATAAAGGAGGGAGCTATGTAATCCACTTAACCGTTAAAACATTTTCCTGAGCTGTAAGAAGAAGAAAAAAAGAACCACCCAGTCCCAAACACGTACAACTTCCAAGTCTTTGAAACATAACATGCCTCTCTGGTTGGCACCCAAAAAGTGGAACAGTAATGTGGAAATTTAGACTTGCGACCTATGGAAATTAGCATTAGCTTTTATTATGTAATTTCATTTGGTGTGTGACACAGTGGCGTAAGAAATTCCAGCGTCTTCAGAGCTTGTAGTTCCCTCTCCTCCTCCTCCTGGTTCATTTGGAAAAACCCTGGAGTGATGCCGGAGTAGCGTCATGGCCAAACCACTCGTGTGTGTGTGTGTGTGTGTGTGTCAGAATATTACCTTCTGCAAACCCTGCTGTGGCCTCCTTTTTAAATGTCCGCTCTGTTATTACAGTGGAGGAAGAGATGCTGATAGAGGTGGAGGGAAAGAAAGAAGCTGTACAGAACAATTAGGAAGGACGGTTAGAAAGAAATGAGCGACCCAGTAACATGTTGAGAAGATGTCTGGCTTCCCACCAGCAGGATCCTGGAGGAATCAACTGCTCTCACTAATCCTAATTTCATTTCAAGACTCTCTTGTCTCCGAGCCTCCCACTCTGTAACCACACGTCTGATGCCAGTGTTCCCAGGCAGAGATGTAGTAAGAGTTTGGAACGGCTTCAACGTCGTCACAGAGGTATTTGGTTATTTAGCGCTTTTAGATGAGGTTGTTTAAGAAAAGCAATCAGACTGGGCTTTTCAACTGGCCTCTCCTAAAGTAAATGCCGGCCATCCAAAAGCTAAGTGGCTCCAGCGTAACTGCATGGGAGGCCCCTTTGCTGCACACACACACACACACACACACACACACACACACACACACACACACACACACACACACACACACACACACACACACACACACACACACACACACACACACACACACACACACACACACACACACACACACACACACACACACACACACACACACACACACAGCGCCTGCCAGTTTTCCGATGTGAACACAGGTTCAATTCTGTGTTATCCACATTTGCTTTTTGTTTGAATTCTCACTTGACCTTTAGTTTTTTCCAGCTCTTACATTGCTTCTTTTGGGTTTCTCCCAACTCCATGGCTTGCCCAATGCACTCATACATCTATATTTCACAGGTAGGAGCCTCACCTTTGGCTGAAAACATCTCCATTAATGGCCTCATACCTATAATAGTGTTTTCTGTCAGTCCATTTGATCCTAAATCTTTGTTTTGGACAGATAAAAGAGGGAGAGTGATAAACAAAGGCAGAGTAGTTGAAACCAAGATGACAGAAGATGAAAAAGCCAGATGAATCCTGCTCTTTTCATCAGGCGTTTAAGAGCTGCCTTATCAGTACATTACTTCTACAAGCTTATCTGAATGCAGATAGGACAGAGCTCACAAGACTTGTCCCATG